TTCCACCCCTTCCATGTCATCCTTCCCCCCTTTCCACGTCATCCTCCCTCCCTCCCCCTTTCCACGCATCCTCCCATATCCACCATTCCACGTCATCCTTCCCCCCGTCCAGCCTCTCTTTTCCACCCCTCCCCGACATCCTCCACGTTCCACCGTTCAACGCCATCGTCCCTTTTCCACCCTCCCACGTCATCCTCCCCACTTATATTCGTTTGTTCCCCTCCCCCTCTATCCGCATCGGCATGACCCAGCTGCCCCTCCTTGTTTAATCATCCACCAAGCAGTCCCATAATCAGTGGCATGTATTCAATGATTGGGTGCAATCAACAAATGCTACGTAATCAGTAACGTCTAATCAGTGACATAATCAGTGACATGTATTCAGCGACACGTAACCAGTGACACATAAGAACAGTATCACGCGCCCAATCAGTTACACGTAATCAGCGACGTCTCATAAGCAGTCATCACATGCAAATAATCAGTGACACGTAACCAGTGGCACATAAGAACAGTATCAGTGACACGTAAGCAGTGTGATTGGATTAGACGCAAAAGGTTTAACCAACATGTAGTTGGTGATTGGACGCAAAATGCACTCTGATGCATCCAATCACTGATGATGACCTGTCGTTTGTTTTTTGGGTTTTCCGTGACCCACGTGGCACCCACATGGCTCTTCCAATATTGTGAAATCCGCGTCCATTTCGTTTTCTGTTTCCACAATTCTCCCGCCCATGCCACAGGCGCACTCCGACGCCCTTCCCTGATGCTCCACGTGTAGTCATTTGTCCCCGTCAACCCCGTCTCCTCATCACTGTCATCACTCCGTCCTCCTCCTCCTCCTTCTCCTCCACAACCCCGTCTACTAGTACTTATCGCCGTCTCCTGTCCCGCCCCACTCGTCAACAACGCCCAGACCGCCCCACTCACTTGCTTTCCGCTTTCTCAATATCAGATTGGTGGTATTTTCTCTAAGAAAAAAGAATCATACTTTTTCTAGAGAACATTCGCGAAAATTCATAAACTACTTTTGGGCTTTTTCTATTTTTTTGGGCGCTTTCGGTTTTTTAATTGTAGGTATATGTAGTTACCTAAAAAAGAATGTTTTTCTCTTTTCTGCAGAAAACATTCTTTTTATCCCACAAGGGGCTGTAATGTCTTTCTATGGTATAACTGGCATCTTTTTAAGTTTTTACCTTTGGTTTACAATCTTTTTAGGAGTAGGTAGTGGTTTTAATGAATTTAATAAAAATGAAGGTATTATACATATATTTCGATGGGGGTTTCCTGGTAAAAATAGACGCATAAAGATCTGCTGTTTAATAAAAGACATAAAATCAACATTCTTTTTTTATATTAGTTAATACTATGGTGTATTTATTATTTATCTTTTCATTCTAATAGATTACATAAAATTAAATGAATAATTCTTCAGGCCAACTTCTGAGACCTGAAAAGCGAAAAAATAGAAGATCAAGAAATTATTTCAAAAAGAATCTCATAGACAGTGACAATAGCCCTAAAAAGATAAAAAGACTTGCTTTCGCTATGGCTCCGGTGGATAATTTCCCTTAACCAAGCCACTGCCTATGAGTCGCCGGCTCATTCTTCAACAGACACGCGGTCAAAGATACAATTCTCCTCCCACTGCTTGAAGGCCTACGGTTTCATGTTCTCTTTCACTCCCCTATGGGGGTTCTTTTCACCTTTTCCTCACGGTACTGTTTTATATTACCGATTACCCCCCTCGTAAAACTAAATTTCGTAAACATCATAGAGGAAGAATGAAAGGGATTTCTACAAGCAGGAATTCAATTGTTTTTGGAAAGTTTGCTTAATACAAAAATAACTATGGTTGAACCTCTTCTATCTGGTATAGTACTTGGATTAATTCCTATTACATTAGCAGGATTATTTGTAACTGCTTACTTACAGTATCGACGCGGTGATCAGTTAAATTTATAGTAAAACTATTGTCTAGATTTTCATCAAGTCTCTATTCATTGAATCATATAAGAAAGCTAAATTTTACACATTTTGTTTATTATTTTTATCAACTTTATTCTATTGGACTCGTCTAACTGTCCTGAGAAATAGTTGGATCTACTTTTTTTGTCGTCTTTACTGAAATACCACCATCACGTCCTCCTCCTCCCCCCCCTCCTCTAGTGGAATCCCTCCTCCCTCCCTCTCCCATCTCCTCAGAATCTTCATCCACATTTTCCTACTCCTCGAGTGAGAGCATTCCCTCCTTCCGCTCCCTATTGGATCACATAATGACTATGGTAGCCCGATGTCATTTAGACGAAAACCGGATCGAGGAGGAGCGTACTACTACAGACTGGGTGATTGACTCATGGACATGGACATTCTTGTAAACTGCCAATGACGGATTTGAAGCAGTGATAACACGGTTTAACAATGGTCTATTCATTCTTTGTATCAAGAAAATGCAAAGAATTCTCTATCAAACAGACCGCCCTCAACAACATAAAGAAGAAAATGGAATACCGCCCTGCCTCGGACGTTCTAGTGCTCAAAGACACTCGTCTCCAGAGGTGTTTTGGAAAGACCTCTCTCATGATTTGATGGGTGAAATATTGCGTGGTAGTCTGGGAGGAAAGGATCTTGGGAGAAATCCGAAGGGCCAAAGGACAGCATCATTACAAGAAAGGAGCAGACTGTAGTAGTACGCTCCACCTCCTCCTCMACCTCTTCCTCCTCTTCCACCTTCATTCATACCGCTTCCTCCTCTTCCTCCTCCTCATTTCATACCACTACCTCCTCCTCGTCCTCCTCCTCCTCCTCTTCCTCCGACAATAATCATCGCTGTGAGCAAGAAGTGGTGTGCTGCGCTCTCCAATGTGGTTCGCGCATA